CGGGGCCGGGGCCGGGGCCGGGGCCGGGGCGGGCGGCGCGGCGCGGCGGGGGCGGCGCGGGCATGGCGGCGGCGGCGGCGGCGGCGGCGGCGGCGCGGGGCAGGTGACAGCGGCGGCAGCGCGGCGCTGCCCGCCGGCCGCCCGCGCGCCCGGGGCATGATCCGCGGCGCCTGGATGTCCCCCCGCGGGGGCGCCGCCGGCGGGGCCGTGTGCTGCGCGCCGCGCCGCAGCGACAAGCCGGTGGCCGACCCCGAGCGGGCGCAGAAATGGCGCCTCTCGCTCGCCTCGCTCCTCTTCTTCACCGTGCTCCTCTCCGACCATCTGTGGCTCTGCGCCGGGGCCAAGCTGCGCGCCCGGGAGCGGCCGCGGGGCCGCGGGCCGCGGGCGCTGCTGGCGGCCGAGCCGGCGGGCGGCAGCTGCGAGGCCCTGCTGGGCAACCTGAGCCGCGGCCCCGGCGGGCCCTGCCCCGCCGCCCGCGGGGACCTGGACTCGGCGTGCGCCCGGCTGCTCGCCCCGCAGCGCCCGCGGGCCCCCGGAGCGCCCCTGCGCTCGCCCCCCGCCGCCGCCGCCGCCGCCGCCGCCGCCGCGCCCTTCTTCGCCTCGCCCTCCTCCAAGAGGACCTTCCTGCAGGCTTACTTCAGGAACTTCAACCTCTCCTTTTGTGATACTTACACGATCTGGGACCTGCTGCGGGAGATGGCCGGCCCGGACGGCCTGGACTGCAGCCTGGACAACCTGATGGTGGACCTGGTGGTGGCGGCGGCCGGGGCGCTGGGCGGGGAGGCCTGTAGCAGCTGTGTCCAGGCGTACCAGCGGCTGGACCAACACGCTCAGGAAAAATACGAGGAGTTCGACCTCTTGCTGGAGAAGTACTTGCAATCGGAAGAGTACTCGGTCAGATCCTGCCTGACGGACTGCAAGGTAGGATGGGACGCCCCGAGGTCCTCAGGGCAACCTGGGTGAGCTGAGCTGGGCCATGGGGAGCTCGGTTGTGCGGGGGTGCCACAGCCCCCCTGCCCATGGGCTGGGGACTTCCTCTGCCCCCCGAGCCCCTTCCTGGTAGTGGTGATCCAGTGCCCTCAGTCTGGAGCCCTCAGGGAGGCTGGGACAGGGTGGTAAGAGCGAGAAAGCAAAGCAGAGCTTGGGCTGAATGAGCACTCACACATCACACCTGTCCACACACAGGCAGGTCCTGGCACCCTGCTCCTGGCATCCCTCTCCTGACACTCTGCTCCTGGCAGCCTCCTCCTGGCACCCCACTCCAGACACCCCACTCCCAACACCCTGCTCCTGACACTCTACTCTCAACACCCCAGTCCTGGCACCCTGCTCCCTGCCAGCCTCACCCACACCCTTTTACGTGTGCACTCCTGTGCACACAGAGCCCAGGCTGGGGCAGGCATGGTGCCTCCCACTGCTGCCTGGGGCCTGCTGCTGCTCCTGGGACAGCCCAGGGCTCTGCCTGGCTGTCATTAGATAAGTGTGACCTGAGATGAACTATGGTGCTGGGGCCCTTTCCCCTTATACAGCAGCTGTTTTCCAGCTCTTCCACCCCATCTCCCCAGGGAGCTGGGCTGGGGATGATGGGACGTGCCTCCCCCTGTTGGTGTTCCCTCTTTGGGATTTCCCCCAGTGTCACTGACCATCCCTTCTCTCAGGGCACTGTGGATGGGTTGGTTGCCTCCCCCAGCACCAGCGGGACCAAGCTCCACACGGTGCCACCTCTCCCAAATGGGAGTCGTGGCTGGATCTCCCTTGGAGCCCCCAGTGTGGTTCTGCTGGATGCTCCCGTCCTTTTCCAGGAGCCCTGGTTCCACCAATCCCTACCTGCTCCAAGTTGCCTGGCTCACCTGTGTGCATTCCCTTTGGGAAGCAGAATAGTCTCGATAATTAAACCTGCTTCCCTTTCTTGGAGCCGTGTCTTAGGGTGTGTGACAGCACTGTCCCCAGAGGGACAGTGGCAGAGCTTCCCCCCCGTGACAGGATGGGGCTTGGCCTCTGCTCCTCTGGGACAGGAGTTGAAGTTCAGCATGGGCAGCGCTTGGTGTGGTGTTCGTGCCTTGGGGAAGGGTGGGAGCAGCGCTGGGATGCAGTGCTGGGGACACCCAGGTGGTGTCTTTCACCAAGGGCATGGCACCGAGATCCCGGCCGCCGCTCCAGGGCCGCTGTTGTGAGGAGCTGGGTTTGGACAGGAGCGAGAGCTGCCGCTCTGGGCCCGTGCCAGGCCAGGTAATTGCAATCTGCTTGCCCACATTCTCCCTGCAGTTTCCAAGGGATGTGGTACTCAGCCTGCTCCGAGTGGTTTGGTCCCGCTGCTTCCCTTCCACGGGAGTCCAGCGCTGTCCATCGTGCTGCTCCTGCACCGGGGGCCCAACAGGAGCAGGGTCTCCCTGTGCTGTGTCTGCTGGAGCAGAGACACCCCAGCTTCAGGTGTAGCTTCCATCTCTGCTGAGTGCTGAGAGAGACCCAGAGAGGGAAGCAGAGTTGAGAAAATCATTACCTTTGGGTCTTGGGCGAGGAGATGTTCCCATGGACTCCAAAGTAGGTAGAAACAGATCCATGCTCAGATGAGTCTTCATTAAGTGTCCCTGGTTCTTAACATCCTTGGTGGGAAGGCAGGACACGAGCTTGGGAGGTGCAGAACTGGAGGCAGTGGCAGGACTCGTACCTCCAAACTGGCTCCGTGTCGCGTCGGTGCATCCTGAGAGCGTCTGAGAGCTCCAGCTTTGCATTCCACAGGCGGCACTTGGGAAGCAACAGGAGGCACGAGCAGCAGGGCCAACCTGTGCGTGCTCACCTGAGCCACCCATGGGGAAATTTCCATGAGGGTGCCCAAGCCTGCAGGCTCCAACCAGAGCCCTTGGAGCTCCCGTGTGTTTCAGTCTCCCGTGCAAATCAGGCTTCTTAATTTAAGGCCATTCGCGGCATATTTAGGTGTCTTATTCCAGCCTTTCACACCCACGGGTCTCAACCTTTCCCTCTTGGTGGCTGTTCTCCATCTGTGAAACGAGGCTAATGCCAAACTCATCCAGCCTTGTGCTGACGAGCGAGTTTTGGCCTGATTTCCAGTCCTCTGGACTTCAGCAGGGGCTGCAGTTGCCTTGGAAAAAATGTGGCTGGCGGGATTTTTGAAGCAGCCTGAGTTTGTAATTCCCATCCAGATGCTGGATAATACCCACTCCTGAGGGATGGCAGAGATACAGCTCGATGGTGACAACATCTGAGAGAAAATGACAGCAAAATAGGAAAGAGTGGAGGAAAACAAAGTGGCAGGGGCAGCTCGGCCAGTGTGAGAGGCTCCTGCAGAGCCCTCACAGCGGGACTCTGGCCACAGGAGCCCTGGAGCTGGGCAAACAGGATTTAAAGGATATTTCTGGGGCAGAGGACTGCGGGAGCAGGGCTGTGTTCAGGGATTTGGTGCTGCTAACCATTTGCATCCCTCCCATCCCGTAACAGCAGCTGGGAAATCAAAAGTAGGGAAGCACAACAGCTCCAGGTAACCTGCACACAGCTTCCCTCTGCAGAGCCACATATCCCTCTGGTATTTTGTCCCAAAGAAGGGTGGCTCAATAAACAGCACACAGGGAGCTCTGTGGCAGCCAAACCACTCCAAGGGTTTCGGCTCTTTGTTCCATCTCATTTAAAACAACAGCAACAACAAAAGACCCTCCAGAGCCACCAGTTCCGTCCCACAACAGCAGGTCTGACCCCAGGTTACAAACTTGGAGGTGGGTTGGTGTCAGGTGTCATTCCCTGTTAATAAATCATCCCAAGGGCTGTGCCCAGGTTTGGTGCAGGAAAGGCTGGTGCTGCTGGGAGGGGAAACGGCATCCTGAACATCCTAATCCTGGATCCATCTGTGCCTGGAGCTTGGGCAAGGCTGGGTCAGAATCTCCTATGAAATGGTGGGGTCTGTGTGTGATTACTGTGCTGCTGAGATTACTCATTGCTGTAATGCTCTCCCAGGCCTTTTTATTTTCTGCTTGGAGATCATTCCCGGGCAGATCCCACTTTCTGCACACGTTGTTGTTATTCCTGTGCAGCACCATCAACTTCCAAATCACACTCTGGAAATGTTTTACTTGTTACTCCTACAACTAACACCAGAAATCCCTGTGGCTGAGAGACAGTGAACTGTGAAGAGACATTTCTGGGGTTTATTGTTTGTTTGCATTTCCCCTTTGGTGGGAGTTTGGGGGGTCTGGCTCTCAAGGGGACATTGTGGGCAGGGCTCCAGCATGCTGTGGACAGGATGGAGAGGGACAGGGGGGTCCCCGAGGTCCATCCATCTTCTCAAATACATTTCACCTCTTGCAGTGAAGATGTGAGTGCCAGCTTCTGGGTCATGATGCTAGTTAGGTGTGATGTGGATAAAAGGTGGAAAATAGTTGTGTTTTCTGACTGTAAGAGGGGTAAGTCACTGAGGCGGGAGCAGCTGCTGGCCGCCTCCATCTCCTCTTCCTGCCTGACTTGCACCCTTTGTCGCTGCAGGACATGGTGAACTTTGTGTGCTGAGTGGGGACACGTTGGAGCATCCCCAAAAGGGCTTGAGGAGGTCATGGCTTGGGGATGTGGGTGTTGGAGACGAATGTGCCTTGGGAAATGCGGGGCAGCAGCAACACATGAGCTGTTGGTTCAGGCTTTGCAGGACTTAGTGCAGGGAGAAATCCCTGTCCCTGCAAAGCAATGCCCTGTGGGATGACTAGGGCTGGTTTGTGCTTTTTTCCCATGTTTCCAAACAGGGAAAGAGCAGTGTTGCCCCCAGATGAGAGCTTTGCTCCTGCAGAGGTGGAGCTGTGCGTGCTGGCTCCTGCCCCAGCAACCGCCACAGGCAGCGCTCCCAAAGTGCCCCCTCCCTCCAGTCTGGGGGCAAATCAAGATCTATGGGACAAAGCCTGCTGAATTAAGGACTCATTAGGCTGCAAGAAACAAAGCTGTGGAGAGAGAAAGGCTGACAGGCAGGAGCTGCAGGCCGGGGCTGGCAGCAGAGCTGGGCAGGCCGGGCTGGACAGGACCTGTAGCATCTCAGGTTTTATTAGATTACCAGGTTTCTGTGTGCACGGGCCCCTGGCTGTTGGATCCCGCTGTGTCCCAGGCAGACCTGCTTCTGCACCTCTGGTTTCCCTGGTACCTCCCGGGGAGTCTGGCAGAGCAGGATTTCACTCCAGGGATTTGCCGGTGTTTCCCTGTGGTGGGTGGGCGGATGGTGTGGTGAGGGTGGGGGCTGGTTCCTGCCTTGGCACCACGCCTGGCACAGCCCACACCGAGCTGAGAGCAAATCCACGATGCCTAGGTTCAGCACTCCAGGGTCCCGTTTGCTGGCTCTTGTCTAGCCAGGAATAGCATCAGCAATCAGCATCTCTGTGGAGCATCCCTCCCTCCGGAGCATCCTCTGGAAACACAAGCCTGCTGGGGCGGGAGCTTTGGGAGTGCCATGTCTTGGGGTTATCCCAGAGCCGGGAACGCCTCTTGGGGGAACCAAAGCAGCGTTTTACCTTCACAAAAGCAGCTCAAGTTGAGTTTATTTGGGCTGGGATTATCCAAAATGATGCTTCACTCTGGCTCTAAGCCTGGATGGCTCCTTGCACAGAGGGAAGGTCCCTAGAGACTCACAGCAAAAGTGGTTTCACCAGAATCTTGTGCTTTTTTAGGGGGGTTGCATTAATATTGAGGCTTCCAGAGGATCCACTGATGGGTGACTGCAAAGCTGCACCTTGGACCCGGTCCCCTCTGCAGCATTCGCTGCTCCAGGAGCAGCAGCACCCAGGAGGAGAGGCTGTTCCCAAACACCTCTCAGCTCCAGAGCTGCACCCGCAGCTTCTCCTCCAGAACAAGCCTGGCCGGTGAGATGGAGCTTTACTGGCATTTCATGAGGTGAAAAAAGGTTCCCGAGTAAATTCCAAAGTAATTCCAGCAGATCAGCGCAGTCATTTGGCAGCTTGAGCAAGCGCAGCACAGGCACG